GTTCCTAAAATTCATTCTTCAGTTTTAGAGAACATGAACTCGTGCAGGTCAGGTCGGGAGATCGTTTTTCCCTATGTCATTTGGAGGTTCCCTATATGGTTTGGAGGTCACCCACCCGAGACCAGTTTTTCTCCCTGTATCTCTAGGATTTCAAGCTGTGCCCCCGTGCCTGGCTATGAGTGGGGAACTTAAGCTGACATGATGAGGCTCCACCTTGCAGCAGCCCCAGTCAGGCCTGGGAGCTGAAAGGGGCTAGAGAGGAAGTCAGGTCCGGGACTGGCAAGGGGTGCTGTAGGTGGGGTGGGCTGACCCCAGCAGGGAGCACCAGGGAAACAGCCAGGAGGGGAGGAGAAGGGAGAGGACCAAGAGCCCTGCCTTACCTCTCACTAATCCTAGAAGATGCTTGCCCGTGCCTCAGTTTACCCATCTATCAACTGGAAACCCGAGTGGCTGAGAGGATGAGACTGGCACAACGGGGGCTGCTATTCTAGCCTTATGGAGGTCAGGACGGCAGGAGCTAGACGTGGTAGCGCATAATCCTAGCACGCAGGAGGCTGAGGCTGGAGGATCACCTAAAGTTTGAGGCCAGCCTGGGCTACATAGTGAGTTTAAGGCAGGTCCGGAATACATGAAGAGCTGCTGTCTAAAATAAATAAATAAATAAGGACACGGACTGGGTGCCTGGGTGTCTAGGGAGCAAGCTAGGCTCTGAGAGGAAGCAGAGCAGTCCGGTCTGGGGCCCAAAGGGACTGGAAGCTCAGGCCAGCGACCCGGGCGCGTTGCAATGCTGCCAGGCTGGCATCTGTGCAGTCCCTTTCACAACTACTCTACCCCAGCGCTGGCACGCGGTTGCCCGGGCCCCAAGGCCAGCCAACCTCCCCACCAGCTGCGGGGTCACTGGCGGTCAGAGGCGCCCGGCGGGAAGGATGTGCTGGGGGGTGGGGCTGGGAGCCTGGAGAGAGAAAATGCAGTGTGGGCAGGGGTGGGGGCGGGCGGAGGAAGTGGGGACCAGACGCACAGCGGTAAGGGGAGGGGGTGGAGCGGGTCCCCTTCAGCAGTTCAGACAGGCGGAAGAGATGCATATAGGGAAGGGACGGATGGAAAAAAGGGAGAGACTGGGGCTTGTAAACCGAAGAACACAGCCCAGCAGGGAAAGGATATGGAAAGAAGAAAGTTGTGTGACAGACACACACCAACGCCCCACGATGAAGGGACTCATTGTGTACTGCAAAGTAACAGAAATAAAAATTAGAAGTGAGACCCCAGGGCCGGGGATATGGCTCAGTAGAATAAGCGCTTGCCTGGCAAGCGCAAGGGCCTGAGTTCAATCCCCGGTTCCGCCAAAAAAGAAAGAAAGAAAAAAAAAAGACCCCAGATCCAAGCCCAATGATGTGTGCCAGTAATCCCAGGAGGCTGAGGCAGGAGGATCGCCATGAGTTCCAGGCCAGTCTGGGCTACACAGTGAGTTCAAGGCCAGCTTGCACTACATAAACTACCCAGCAATACCCTGTTTCTAGACAAGAGAGCGAGGAAGAAAGGGACAGGCGGGAGAGGTGGCCTGGGCAGCCAAAGGGAGCTGGGGATGAGACCTGAGAGCCCCTGGGCTGTCCCTGAGAGCCCCTGGATAAAAAAGCACCATCCGAAGAGCGTAGAGGCTATCACTGAGGGTCAGAGGCTGTGCAGGCTGAGGTCACAATCATGGAGGTGGGAGGCGGGGGTGCGGAGCAGCGGCGGTCTGGGCCCACGGGAAAGGTCGGACCTGGGAAGGTGGGTGCGAGGGCGGCTGGGAGGGCGGACGCCCCGCCCCCTCCCTGGGGATTAAAGGCCACACTGCAGCCCCACCCACTGCACAGCGCCGCTGCCCTGAGGCCTGATCCAGGTGGGTGCTGGGCTCTGGGAGGGAGTCAGGGAGGCCCTTTTGTTAAACTGAAGAGTGGGCTGGGGCATCACGGTGGGGAGGGGAGCAGCCCACTGACCCACATACCTCCGCCAGGTTGTCCTCTGCAGACATGAGGCTTTTACTGTCGCTGCCCGTCCTGGGACTCGTCCTGTTCATGGCTTTGGCAGGTAAGAATGCGATGTGAGACCATCAGCCTCAGCCGCGAGGCGGGAGCGTTGCGAATTGGAGCCCAGCCTGTGCAACTTTGTGATTTAAAAAGACCCTGTCCGGAAATATAAAATACAAACCAGACGTGCACACCTGTAATCCCAGCACTCGGGAAGCTGAGGCAGGAGGATACCAGTAAGTTCCAGGCCACCTTGGGCTATGTAGACCTTGTCTGAAAAATCAAAACAAAACAAAAATATTTAAAAAGGGTCTGGAATGCAGCTCAGTGCGAAGGGCCTGGGTTTCCAGGGCCCCAAGAAACAAACACAAAATTGGCCTGGGAGAGTGGGGGAGTGTGAGGTTTGGGAGTATGAAGCTGACCTGGGACCAGCATTAGCAGATCTTTGAGAGCTCTGGGGAACTTTCTAGGGTCTCTTGACCCCCCACTCACATGCCAGGTGGGCTTCTAGATTAGCTAAATTCAGTTCCACAGATGGCGAGTTGGCCAGCGACTGTTGGCGGAGGATCCCCACCCCTAGGGGATTGGCTGCCCCGCCTCTGGCCTTGGCCAGAGGGATGTGGTGCTAAGGAAGAAACCCAACAGCGGGAGTCCCGCGGAACCCCTCCAGGGCTCTTCCCGCACCCCAATTCTACATCTCCATCGCATTGCGGGATCGCCTTGCCCACCCATGAAGACTTCTCAGGTGACTGACATTTTCGTACCTTCCACTCATTCCCCGCAGGCCCAGCCCCAGCGCAGGCCGCCCCGGACCTCACCAACACCTGGGAGGACTTCCCGGCCAAGCTGAAGGAGTTCGGGAGCACCCTGGAGGACAAGGCCCGGGCAGCCATCGAGCGCATCAAGCAGAGTGACCTTCCTGGCAAAACCCGGTCAGGACCCCTCCCAGGGCCCAGGGGCTCACGACAGATTTAGATCCCTGTGGTCCCAGAGCTAGATCTCAGGATGCTCAGAAGCAGGGGACAAGTTTTCTGATCCAAGCCTCGCCACGTTTCGCAGCTGGTTCTGGCTGGTGTCCACATAGTGTCCATGCGCTTAGCAAGGTCCATCACTGTGAGCCTCGGCTTCTTCACCTGTAAAATGGGTGGCACAGAGAAAAGTTCCTGCCTGACAGATTGCAAATGCTCTGTCAGGCTGGCCTTGAACTCCCAGTGATCCTCCTTCAGCCTTCAGAGGGCTGGAACTATTGTTATGTGCCACCATGCCAGGCTTCCCAGATACTTACTGTGCGCGGCCACGTGGCGTGTGGAGCAATATGTTACTGTAAAGAGCAAGAGGTCTGGGGTGCAGCTCAGCGGTGCAGCGCCTGCCTGGCAGGCACGAGGTCCTGAGTTGGATTCTTGATGACAACAACAAAAGAATGAGATAAAATGCCAGCTAGCATTCTAAGCAAGAAGCTGGGACAAAGGAAAAAAAGGAGAAGCTGGGACAGATGAAAAGCCAGTTTCTAGATAGGGCAAAGGGGGCTGATGGCTCAGTGGTCTAAAGCATCTACTTAGAACAAGCTTAGCAAAGCACAGGGCCCACGGTTCAATCCCCCAGCACCACATGCCAGCCAGCCCCGCCCCCTGGTGGGCTGAGCTGGCCACACACACACAAATAAATAAATAAACAAAATAGATAGGGCAAAGCTCTATGAAGATGACAAAGAAGGTGGGAGCGATGACCCAGGCCTTCTATACATTTGGGTAACTGGGAGGTGACACTTTTATTTATTTATTTATTTTGGCGGAACCAGGGCTTGAACTCAGACCCTTGTGCTTGCCAGGGAAGCACTTATTCCACTGAGCCATATCCCCAGCCCCTATTTTATTTTTTTGAAACAGGAGCTCAAGCTATGTAGTCCAGATTGGCTTAAAACTCATGGAAATCCTCCTTGCCCTCCCAAGTGCTGGGATTATAGTTGCCACCCACCGGGTGCTTGGCTGCATGCAGCAGGAAGTGATTTTTAGAATGAGGTTGAAATAATTGGGAGAATCCATTCAGAACTAAGCTGAAGAATGGTCCCAGCAAAACAAGTGCAAAGGCGATGAGGCAGGAAGGGCTGGAGAGAAGGAGAATTTGGGCTTCCAGGCAAGAGAGGTGAGAGGTTGCTAGGCCTGATGAGGCATGCGTGTAATCCCAGCAGTCTGGAGGCTGAAGCGGGAGGATCAACACAATTTGAGGCCAACCTCAAATGTAACATGGAATACATATCAAGGCCCTATCTCAAAAAGACAAGAAAAGGAAACATAAAAAGAAAGAAGACGCAAAAAAAAATTAAAAAATGGGGCTGGGGAGATGGTTCAGTTGAATAAGCACTTCCCTGGCAAGCACAAAGGTCTGAGTTCAATCCCCGGTTCTGCAAAAAAAAAGAAGAGGGCTGGCTAGATAGCTCAGCAGACTAAAGCCTCTGCTTAGGCAGGCACAGGGACCAGGGTTCGATCCCTGGCATGCTGTGCCAGCCCCACCCCCAAGTATGCTGAGATGGCGAATGTGGGCGTGGTGGTGCACACCTATAATCCTAGCACTTGGGAGGCTGAAAACAGGAGACTCACGATGAGTCTGGTCTGTGTAGTGAGACTTTGTAGGCCCTGTACTAAATACATAGAGAAGAGATGGTAGGCCTTGAAAATGGGGGTCAAGAGGTTTAGCATCCGTTGCCCTGGTCCATCTGGGGAAACTGAGGCATGGACATTGTCCCATTCAGGAATCTTCATCGCACCACACCGTGGGGACAGAAATCCAGGATAGGAAAAATGAGTGGAGTGATGTGGGGGCATCCTGGGAGTGGCCGCATACGGTGACATGTCCCCTGTGTCTCCCTACAGGAGCTGGTTTTCAGAGACATTCAGCAAAGTGCAGGAGAAGTTCAAAGCCACCTTCTCCTGAGCTGCTGAGGGCCGCGCCTGAGCAAAGACTTCTCCAGGACTCCCAGGTCCTCCCCCAATAAAAATCCTACAGATTCTCCTGTGTGTGCATCATGGGGCGGAGAGCGTGGGGCTGCGCCTGAGGGACACTTGCAAGCACCCCAAAATACCTTTTGGCTTTTGGTTTGTGTTTTTGGTTTGTTTTTTTTTTTTTCGGAACCGGGGATTGAACTCAGGCCCTTGCGTTTGCCAGGCAAGCAGTTATTCTACTGAGCTATCTGCCCGGCCCCTGGCTTTTGTTTTTTTAAAGACAGTCTCACTATGTAGCTCAAGCTAGCTTTGCACCCATGAATGAACAGTGATCCTCCTGCCTCAGCCTCCGGAGCGTGCACCACCACGGCCGGCCACAAGTCTGTGTTAACACGTTGAGTTCCTGGAAGCCCTTAGGAGTAAGGTTGGCCCTTCTCTCGTTCTTTATCTTGGAGAGGTTCTAGAGGTGGACCCTGGGTGCCGAACTGCACCGACCCCCTCCCAGCTCCTTGCCTCTTCCCTCCAGCAATTACTCTCCTGGCCTGATGACCCAATCGTTTGCCTACCTACAGTCTGTCCCCAGCTACCAGAGTGTCAGGTTTTCATGGAAGCTGTCATGTTCCCTGCAGTATCACTGAGCCCCTAAAGCACAGCCTGGCACACAGCAGGCACTCAATAAATACTCCGTGGATATTGCTGATAAACTGTTTAGGATTCACTGGGTTCCCTGGATCAATGCGTCCCTTTTCTCAATTTGGGAATTTTTTTTTTTTTT